CGGGCTCCGGCCTGGGCCTGGCCGCGGGCGCCGGGAAGTCCCAGCGAGCCCAACTTGCGCGGCGCGGCCGGGGAGGCGAAGGTGGGCGGGAGGAGCCTGTCTAAAAATACAGGCTTGTGAGCCTGGGCGCGTGCTGGGGGGAAACCAGTAAATGACATTATTCGGAGCAAGATGGGGCTGCAGTTGCCCGGCAGCCGGCAGTCGCCCCCACGGCCATTAAAAGTCCCGGGGAAGGCGCCCATCCGAAGTTCCATGCCAGCTCTTCGCCCTGGCGAGGCCTTTCGCCCAGTTCAGGGCATTCCTCCGAAATCTGTCTCACCTGGAAGACTTGTTGATCCAGCTGTGCCTCAGTCGTTGCAGTTTGGAAGACAGGGTGGGAGACGTAAGTGGCCCCTTTAGCCTCCGATGGACCGGAAATAATCAGAAACTTTAAGGAGTTGGATAGCCTACTCTCTGAAAAGTGGCTATGAGGTTCTGCCTCAGGCCTCCTCTTTATTAATGACGGGGGACCCACAATGGGGAGATGGAGCCCCACGTCCAGTGTGAGCGGAGGGCTTAAGGGAACCATCACCTGCATATTACAGCTGGAGCTGCCTGGCCTTACTGATTATGATCTCTATTAGGGAAGGAAAAGGAGTATAGGATCTTAGGGCTTGATCTAGACGTGGCATTTAAATTAACTACAACTTCCGGGTGGGGGCTTGCTGGTTTTAGTCCCCATTCAAGAGAAAACAGTCTTTCAGAGAAAGAGAAACTTGCCTAAGATCGTACAAAGAATGATGCAAACCCACACACGTCTGTCACCAAAGTCAGAAGGGTGGACCTGTTGGAAGTCTAGAGTATCTCTTTGCCCGCTTCGCTCTGATTTACTGCCCTGACGTTTTGCACTGCTGATCCAGCTGTAGAAAAGTATGAGAAGCTGTTTGTTCCAGTGTTTTTCTTTCTGTTTGTCTCCCGATGAAGTCATCTACAGAATTTTGGGATATCAGTAAAGACAGCTCAGAGTCAATCCAGCTAACCAGACCCATCTGTGTAAAGCGGTATAACAATTAGTGTTTCAGTCAGTTAATTGCAACCTCAGTAAACAGTAGACCGCACCAGTGCTGCCCGCTCCCCTTTAATAATTGCTTTTTCTTGTTAGTGGCACCGTCGAACTTATTGAAAAATGTTTTTAATTTTACATCTTGCCTCCCCCACCGCATTTGTTCCCTGCTTCTAACAGTCAATCCCTTCCTAGATATTCCTGGCGCTGCCTCTGTCATTGAGGGCCTCCTAGTCCTAGGGAATTTTGGACAAATGATGGTGTCCTTGACTAAGATGAGGCAATCTAGGGACAAAGCAGTTTTAGAGGTTAAAGCAAGGATTCTTTGGAGTTTGATGTCCTATTGGACCACCGAATGGAATTGTTGAATAATTAATTATATGTATGAATAGAGGCTCAGCCCAGGGCTGGAGTTGTCAGCATGTGAGGTTATTGGTATTAAAATCGTGGGAAGATAAGTCATCAGGGAGCAGAGAGGAGTGAGGAGCAAGCCCTGGTCTGCCTGTGGTCAGAGGTGTGAACAAGAGGAGCCAATAAAAGGCTGAGAAAGGAGACCAGTGAGAGTCAGGAGAGCCAGGTGCTAAGGATGTGTGAGGCCAGAGGAAGGCAGGCCCTGCTGGCTCAGCTCTGTGGGAGAGGGTCTGGCGAGATGGATGTTTGTTGTTGAAGTTCTTAACTTGGAGCTGTTTGGATGGAATGCTGGGGACAAAACCTGATGGGGGCGGCTCATGGGAAAAAGAGGAAGAGGAAAAACGGAGTTTGGTGATGATTTATTGTAAAAGGGAGCAGAGGTATGGATCTGCAGTTGAGGGTGGAAGTGGGTCATGGAAGGTGTTATGTTTAAGAGTAGAGATACTACAGCGTGTTGGTTTGTGAGGGGAATGTCCAGGAGGGAGGTTTTGGTGATTCAGGGAAGAGGAACAATATGATAAGGAGCAGAATCCTCATGTGAGTAGGTGAAAGGGGTCAGGATGGAAAGCCCAAGAGGAAGAGGGTTTGGAGGAGCAGGCTCAGGTGGTGGCGGGTTGGTACATCTGGAGGTCGGATGATGCAGCCGTTCTCAAGGCAGTTCTGGAAAGCAGGTAGGGCCTGAGTCATTATCTACATTTCGCAGAAGATGAAACTAAAATTCAGCTAGTGATTTGCTTAAGACCTCGCAAATACTAAGTACCAGAATTACGCTAGTCTCCCAGCTCCAAGTTTTGGGTCACTGATCTTATGCATATTCTTTTTTTTCTTTTTTTTTTTTTTTTCCCCCAGAAATTGATTCAGCTCTAATTAGCTGAATTTGGAACCTAGCTAGTTCTTGCACTGTCACTGGGCTTTGGGTCTTGTTCAATTTATCTAAGCTTCAGTTACCTTGTTTCCAAGATGGAAACACGAATAATTGCCAGGCAGGTGAATTGTAAGAGTCAAATAAAATAATATGCATATGAGTGCTTTGTAAGTGTAAAAGTGCTTTCTATACAAATGTAGGATGGTGATTTATATGGTGGTAGCTTGGGCTAAATACATTCAGAAACTTGCTAGGCAGAGCTATTTTGAAATGTGTGGCAAGGACCAGAATTTAAGCCTTTCCTTGCTTATGTAACATGACACAGTAACTAATGTTAAACATCAGCAGATACGGTGTTGAAATCGGTATCTTTGTATTTGTAGTAAGAGCGAGAATGAATCACTTCAAAAATGTGTGAACATTGCTTACAGTGTGCCAGTCTGTCAACAAAGACAGAGTGGAAGATGATATGAAAAGAATTTGAGGCAAAAGCTCTTAATGAGCCTTGAGGTCTAGACATTGTAGTTTTCCTCATCAGCCGAATTCTCTTTCTGCATGAGGCTGGACCGGACAAAGACTTTATCATCCATTATAATAGTACGTATAGTTAGAGAATACAGATTGAGCATATTGACCTTCATCTTAAATGACTTGATGGTGGTGGGAATTTTGCTCAGAATGTCCATAGTATGAATAAACTACCACCTGTAAATTACTTCTTTCTGATTTTCATTCCAGTTGAGAGCTTTTTATTGCTTTGTGGGTATGTATTTTAAACATGCTGATTTATAACACATCATATTATCACTCAGTGAGCAGATGATTATTCATGCCTTTCCATATTTGTTATGGTGCTACAAAGCACGGAGTTTATAAAGCTAGTTTGTTTTAAGATCCTCTTTTCTTTTATAAATACTGCTTGACTTCCAAGAACAAATAGATGTTGCAAATTTAATGACAGTCTTCTTTGTAAAATTGATTTATCAGTGTAACAGCTTTTAGTATTGTATATTCTAAACTAAGCTTTATTATCACAGTACTTGTGTAACATCTGATACAATATATTTTGAATTCATTCTGAGTATTTTTTCTCTGGTAGATATTGATCCATAACGTTTATCTTCTAAAGTCATTTGAGGAAGAGTAAATTTTTAAAAATTTAATAATATACCTTAGGACACTTTTTTTTTTTTTTTTGGTGCAAATAAGAGGGGTAGAATGCCAGTAAATGTTGCTGATAAATATTATTTGACAAAGGTACTTTGGATATTTTCATGAGTCTGGATAGGCTGACAATTGTCAGGTTTCTTTATGGATATTCATTATTTCAAGTTTGTTCTGGAAATTTTCCAGTGAAAATTTTTTTGTTTCAAGATGTAAATGGAGTTTCACTTTTTGTTTTAGGATGGTGATTCCACTGAAGCAACTGCTAAACCAAAGAGAAGTTTTTATGCTGCGAGGGATTTGTACAAATACCGACATCAGTACCCAGTAAGAGTATAGAATTTTTTTAAATGTAAAACATTTCCTTCCTGGTTTTGTAATCTTAGGATGCAGTAAGAGCACTTGTAAGAAGGGTCCTATGCCTTTTCTATATTTCCATATTTTATCAGTCGTGGTTTACTAAAGAAATAGATATAACACAAGATATACAAATGCACAAGAAATTACAAGTTTGGCTTACAATGGTCAGCCACAGAGTTGGATGAGGAAGCGTGCAGAGGGTGTCTGCACCCTCTGCAGGTCCATATCAGGAGGCTGATGGGTCTGCCACAGAATGTTGAAGAATCTACTACGAAGGCCAAAGAGTCTACACCAGAAGGCTGAAGAGTCCCAGGCAGAAGCTGAACAGTCTGCACCAGAAGCCAGGAGATGACCACGCTGAAGGCAAAGACTGGAGTTCCTCGGAAGAACCAGCAATCAGTCCATCCTCCTTTCCCTTTATTGTATACAGCCTACTTGCCCTGAGGGGGTCCTTTTCACCCACACCATCTCCTGTCCTCCTCTTGCACAGGCTCAGGATGAATGCAAAGTAAAGACCCTGGCCCCCTGCCGAGTCACTTAGTTAACCTTCTAAACTTCTCAAATTGACACAATGAACAACATCCTAGAGCTCTAAGGGCATGTCCTTTCTGTCCCAGGATGTAGAACTGCTGAGTTACTTAGTTAAACTTCTAGGCTCCTCAGGTGGACACAATGTATCAACCATAACACATATACTAGAGATTAGGGGCTGGGGATTTAGCTCAGCGGCAAAAGCGCCTGCTTGACAAGCGCAAGGTCGTGAGTTCGGTTCCCGGTACCGGAGAAAAACCAAAAAACCAAAAAACAAAACATATACTAGAGATTGACGTATTTTTTTTCCTTTAGCAGAACTTCAAAGATATCCGGTATCAAAATGATTTGAGCAATCTTCGTTTTTATAAGAATAAAATTCCATTTAAGCCAGATGGTGAGTAACCTGCTACTGTGCTAAAAAGCAAACTTTAAAGAAGAACACACACCTGGGTGTGCTTTGTTTATTCCATACCTAGTGAATTCTTACCGCAGTTATGTATTGATTAACTTGGTTTGCTGTGCAATCTAAGGTGCCCCTAAAGTTCTAGGCCCTAGAGGTGTTTCATCCACTTGGTGAATCCTGGTGCGACAGCTGATAGTTAGCAGTCCTTCTCTACCATCTTTATATCATGGTTACTACCTGAAAGGTGGTAGGAGTAATGTTTTTCTGAGAGGAGAGGATGGGAGATTGGGACTTGGGATTTAGCTCAGTTGCCAGGCGCCTGCCTGGCAAGCGCAAGGTCGTGAGTTCAATTCCTGGTACCGGAAAAAAACCAAACAAACAAAAAAGAAAGATGGGAGATTTATAGAGCTATAGAATTTTGGATTATTTAGGACTTCAGTGGAGTTCACATTCAGCTTTCTCATGTCCCTCATAGGATCTGTTCCAAAGCCATACTGAGAGGAGACAGCTGCTATGGTAATTTGACTGCAAAATTACGCATTTCGCCAAGGCACCCCACTGTGGTTCGTGGTGGGATCCATGAAACTGTAGCCAGCTTCTCTCTCGGGAGTCCTTTTCCATGGGAAGTGACCAGAGGGCCGTGGTTTCTGCTCTTTGCCTTCAGCAGAAATAGAGCCAGAGCCACAGCGCTGTGTGTCAGGGCCTGAGCGTTGTGGATGGTGAGGCTCTCCGAAGAACTTGCATTTTTTGATGAGCTAACGGGAGGAGTGAACTCTAAAGACTGGACTGGAGTGTGAGGAGAAGGGCATCTTGGTACTTTGCCCTAAGAGATGTACCAGCTGGCAATTTAGAACACTGCTGAAATAGTCTGACCTGTCTGTCTTGGTCTTTCTGGTATACCCAAAGTCTGCTTTGATTTAAAAAGAAGTCCCCAGAACAACTGCAGTGTTGTATGTCCTAGTGATACGAATGTGCTAGTTTTTTAAACCAATGGAAAAATATTGATTAAATTACTAGACTTTTTAGAACTTGGAGTAAGCAAAGCTTTGGAAGAAATGCAATGAGAGATGGCTAGTTTGACTCTGCTTTGAATTTCATAAAGCTCAGTTAAAGGAGTACCTATAGGGATTAAAAGTATTGAACATAAAATACAACAGTTTTAACTTTAGTTTCTGTTTCGAGTAGTGAATTTACTTTAGATTGTAATTTAAAGCCCTGATGTCAAGTAATACATTCACTTTTTGTAATCTTTATTACAAAATTTATTTTGAAATCTTGTAAGATTGATGGGGGTCAGAAGTTTTAAAGTCACATAAAATGTTCTGGTGTATTATATAAATTACACCAATCCCATGTGGAGGACATAGACAGCTTTCCTTGAAAGAGAAGCAGTTATCTCTGTCTTGGCTAAACCTGGCCCTATTTCCATGTATGGGTAAGACTTTTCCTTATCCCCTCAGTGGACTTTAAGCAATGCAAATCAGTCTAGCCAAGGTGCTGATGTGTAGTCTTTGAAGCAAGGGGAAGGGTGTGTTGCCCTAGTAGCTCCCAAGAAGGATATGCGAGCCAGGCGAGAGGGAGAGCTGGGATCAAGCCTTGAGAAAAGAGGCTATGACATCTCAGGGCATAAAAAATCACACATCAGAACTGAAGCAGCCACCTCAAAACATTAGATATTACCTGGAACTGTGTCATGCAGATTACTCTTTCTGCATATCCTTCTCTCTGCCTAGTGCAGAGGTCATTTCCGGCCTCCTACCTAGCCCAGCTTAGGGCACTCACCTATTTCCCACCATTCTCACACTCACTGATCCTTGAGCCACTCCGCTCTTCATGAATTACTAAAACCAGGGTTTGGCCCTGGGTCGAGGCCTTTATTCTCCTTAGCCATCATCCTGGCTGGACTTAAGACTCCCTGGGCTCCCCACAACTGCAAATATGCCTTAGTGTCTTTATTCTCACTGTGGTTTGTACTGAAAGTGGTAGATTGGAATTAAATCGCTGGAATTCCAATAACTTTTCCATGGGTTTACAAATATAAACTTCCCAGACCTTGATGAGGACCCGGAAGGGCTCTCAGTATACTCCCACAGTTTCCTGTCCAGTGTGTGCAAATTCACACACGCTCACTCACTTGCCAGTAAACGTAGAACTTGGAGTTTAGAGTTTTAGAACTTTTTTTTTATGTTCAATGCCTTGCAAAGGCATATTTCCCTTATGAAGTAGGAATAGAGGTAATTGAAATACAGAAGCAAAAGGTTTCAACTTTGCTCTATTAATGGCTCTATTAAAGCCAACAGTATGATTCAAAACAACTTTTACCAAATCTTTTGAGAGCAGTCCTCAACTAAAAACTGGTGATTACTGTAGGAAACAAGAATGAGATGTATGTTTAGAGAAACATTTTAGTCCTGTGGTTTTTCTGTAAGATGGGGTCCATGGCTCCATAGTTGATTGCAAGGACCGGGACATAATGAAGAGGAATTGCTTTCTAGAGGCAGAATGGCCTGTGTTCTACTCCTAGATTTACTTTTTTACTAGTGTGTGACTTAGAAAATTAGTTTTATCACTTACGAAAATGGAGATAATAACACTGGGAGAGTTTTTCTGCATGAGAGCAGATAGTAACATATTCTAGGCTTTGCAGAACTGTTGCTTTCTGCCACAACGACCCAACTCTCATATTGTAGCAAAAAGCCACCATAGACAATACATCTTTGAATGTGCATGACACATTCACCAATAAAACTTTATTTACAAAATCACCAATAAAACTTTATTTACAAAAGAGCTGGCACCGGCCATTGTTGGTTGATTTCTGCTTTACACTGCCCAATAAGACTCTGTGATTGGAGATACCATTATTTTTTTAAATGTGAGGCTTATTACATAACTGAGTTTATGACATAGGGTATTCAGTTTTTAAAAACGTTATTCTTTTGTGCTGTTTTTAAATTTTAAGACTTTTAATATAAAAAGTGATTCAGATCGTAAAATGCCTTTACAATGGTTTGAATGTCTGGTTTATTTTCTAAATATTTACTGTTTAGGTGTTTACATTGAAGAAGTTCTGAATAAATGGAAAGGCGATTACGAGAAGCTGGAGCACAACCACACTTACATTCAATGGTCAGTCACGTACTGTTTGTCTTGAACCATGTCCTGTTTCACCATGTGTGTTTGCCAGACAATGTTAATAGAAAATTTTATTTTTTAAAAAAATAGGCTATTTCCCCTGAGAGAACAAGGCTTGAACTTTTATGCTAAAGAACTAACTACATATGAAATTGAGGTAATGCAAGCTTCTTTCACTTTACGTATGAGATGACAGAATGATATCGTTATTTTCTTGCGCTAGTAGCTACTGAGTCATGTGAGGGAACTTTTTTTTTTATGTTCTTTGTATTAGGAGTTCAAAAAGACAAAAGAAGCAATTAGAAGATTCCTCTTGGCTTATAAAATGATGCTGGAGTTTTTTGGAATAAAATTGATCGATAAAACGGGGAATGTTGCTCGGGCTGTGAACTGGCAGGAAAGATTTCAGCATCTAAATGAGTAAGTAAAGCCCCAGTGATGAGGCAAAGATACTTCCTTGTGGTCAGAGATCTCTGTATATCATCGGAACAGGTAGTAGTTGGATTTAGTAATTTGGATTTAAAAGCCAACCTGAAATGCATTCTATTCTTCATTCTTTATTAAACAAAACTGCAACAACTGAAGACCTGAATTCCAAATGGAAACACAGCTGTTCAGCTTTGGGACTATCCCTCCCGCAGCCTCCCGCCTGCAGCCAGTTACAGCCTCTCCCTCTTTGTCATATCTCTTGGAACTAAGGTTTTTGCCTGTGTATACTTTTTGTATCCCCTCTCCTAGTTTGTAAGCTTTTGGGGACATTGTCTATTGCTAACATCCGCACACTTGGTGCCTTCTTAGATTAAATCCATGAATTAAATCTATGATATATAAAAATCATTTTATAAGCATGAAATGTGACCATACTTTTATTAAAACAGATGAAAAATTATAATTTATTTTCATTACTTAGATAAAAATCAAAAGCAACTTTCTTTCTTTCTTTTTTTTTTTTTTTTTTGGCCTTTTTTTGAGGCAGTTCAGGCTGGCCTTGATTGAGCTCACTTTGTAGCCCAGGCTGGTCTTAAACTTGGAGCAGTCCTCCTGCCTCAGCCTCCCAAGTGCTAGGATTACAGGCATGCACTACCACTCTGGGCAAAAAAGCAAGTTTGGTTAGTAAATCTCAAAACCTATAAAGAAATATTTAGCATAGCTTATTTGGATTTGTTTTGCTGTATTATTTTGCTATATATTTATAACTTTCATTAATACTTGTAACCGAAGTTTATTTTTAAAAATATTTTCTTTATACGCAACCTAGGTTTTTTTCTTTTTAATTATGGGGTAACTTATGAGTGCTGGACTGCAAAACCTACAGTTTTAAAGCACTTTTTAGCACATTATAATTAGCTGAATTGGGCAAGTTCTAAGGGAAAAAAATTAAAACTTAACCACTTCCTCTTTGGCCAAAAAAAAATTTGGCATTGGTTATCTAAATTTTTTGCATCTTTCTAGAACTTTCATCCTTTTACATTGTTAGTTTTAAGTGACACTAGTAAAATGATGACTTATACTCAAACATTGAAGATTTTGTCATACAACTTCATGATCTTGACTGGAAGACACATTAACTCATTCCTGAAATTAAATTTGATTTATCTTAGAAGACTTGAAGTGTGAGGAGATGTATACATATGTCTGCCTAAGCAATGAAGGGCCCTGTCTCTGGACAAAATTTCTGAGCACTGTGTCACACTGCCAAAGAAGCTATATCCATCCAGGTAGCCTGTTAGCTTGAAGCATGGTTAAAGTAAACCTTTGGAAAAGGTCTAATAATACCTCATTTTCTATGTTCTCACTTTTTCAGTTTTTCCTCCCCTACTTGTTTTTGGCTAGAATAGCAATCTTGTTGAGTAAATTTTTTAAATGAATAAATCTGGAGCAAAAATAACATCTTCAGTTTAAATCCTCCTTGGAGTTTTATTGTTGGATCCTCTAATTTATAGCTAGAAACAAAGCTGTTTCTGAAAGGTTTGATTGTCAGGAGAAGGAGCCTAAACTCTCTGCTCATCCGGTCATCTTTCCTTCCACCACCATTGTTGTCTCTCTTGGCCTTTCCAGCGCTGGATTTAGAATCTGTCTGAAAACATGTTTCATCTCTGATTTAGTTGCCAATCATTGGCTGGATTTAAACAAATTATGTGGGATGATGTGAAAATGCATGTTCATTTTTCTTCTTCAGTTGGATCTTTTGCTGATTTATTCTTAAATGTCATAGCTTATCTGAGTTTTAATCTTATGACACCTTGAGTTTTTTAGAGTAGTCAGGGAACTCAGTATATTTATCATAGCTAAGCAATGGAGAAATATTCAATCAAAGTAAAACAACATAATATGTGCTATACAAGTGACCATGCTAAAGAAAGCAGAATATTTTCAGACATGAAGTACAAGCACATAGACCAGACATTAAGATGTATTTCCAGTTTATTTGTCACCGAGCCGTATTTTAGGTCCTGGAATTATTTCTAACTTTTATTTTCTCTCTTCTGTTTGTTGCTTGTCGTGTAAGCTGGCCTCACCTCACTGCTGTCTTGCTGGTGCTGTCACTGTTTACGGCCCTTGCTTCTGTTCAGAGGCCCAATTTCTCCCTTTTATCTCCTGTATCACCCACTCCGAGACTGCTTGCAGTGCTCCCAGAGTTTTAAAACACTCCTGTGTCCCATGTTTTTGTTGTGACATTTACTTCAGGTCACACTGAAACATCCAGTTGATTCCTCCTGTCGTTTCGTTCTGGAATACTGATAATCATTTCTTCAATCCAAGTGGTTTTTCTCCCATGTTTTCAAATTCTTGCCTAAAGGTTAAACAGATGAATGCGTTTCATCTTGACATATTCATATTCATTCATATGACATATGCAGTCATTCCCACTCTCATCACCCCTCAAAGTTTTGTCCTTTTATGCTGTTTTGTAAATATTTTTAACTGGAAAATGTGTAGATGTGGAGAAGTGTGTACAAAATTTTAACTTGATTCGTCTTAGACTGGTTATGTGAAATCTAGCTGATTGCAAAGGTAGTGTTTATTTTGTCATGAAGCACCTATTATAAACATTCTTCTACCTTTCTATACATCTTTTCTCTTAGCTTTATAAAGCAGATTTTACTGAAGGGTTTTGTCAGTAAGTTCTTTAAATATACAAACTCTACGTGAGTGTAGCAACCAAGACCATCCTGTTGTTATTGCATGTTATCTTAATTTTATTAAAATTATCTTAGTTTAAAATACTTTTGGAGCTGGGCGTGGTGGTGCATGCCTATAATCCCAACACTCAGGAGGCTGAGGCAGGAGGATCATTGCGAGTTTGAGGCCAGCTTGGGTTACAAAGTGAGGTCAAGGCCAGCCTGAACTGCATAGCGAGACCCTGTCTCAAAAAGACAAACCTAAACAAAAAAAAAAAAAAAAAAAAAAAAAAAAAATACAGATTCATAAAACTGAACCCTCTCTACTATGCTTTATTCTTTTGGCTTCAAAGCATTGAATCTTAAGATAGTACTTCTTTGGTTAACATTTAAGAGTATGTAGATGATAAAAGTTGTAGGGTTTGTCTTTTCTGGTATCCTGAATAGTTAAGATCTTTGTTTTGTCCAAATTCTCTCATTAAAATGTAAGACCATGAAACCATGCCTTCTTCCACTCCTCAAATAATTTATCAGCATCTTTCTATACCCTTCCCAAATAGTTTACGTCTTATTCCTAGGTAAAAACTCCATGCACTTTTGGAAGCTAGGGTAGGTATATGCAACACTTGTAGAAGTTCAGCATCTGAGATATAAAACAGGTGTTGAGGCAGTTAGAAATAAGTGCTGATTCCAGTTGTGTGGCAGTACTGGGTAAATAAATCCTGGAGCTGTTGACAGTACATCTGATTAATATAGGTGGCTGAGAACTCTTCTAGGATTTGGCCAGGCGTGTGTAATAAAGCTGGGTTTGATCTGAATGAAGTTGAGGAAGTAGATTATAAATTGCCACAAAAAAGATTTGCAAAGGATTAATCCAATAATGGCCCGAGTTTTGATCGAGAGAGGAAAGATTAGTGTAGTCTTGGAAACAAAGTGTCTTTGGAATCAAAGCCATTGGAAATAAGACTTATAATTTTGTGGTTAAGGTAAGAGGTATTGAAATTTGCCATAATGGAAGAGAATTAAGTTATTAAATTAGGACGGGAGCAAATATAGTCTCAATAACAAGTCTTTAGGTAATAATTATTGAAATAATAATATTTTTAAATAGTATCTGATATTTATTTTTATAAATTTTATTTTATTTATTTATTTATTTATTTTGGTTTTCCTCCAGTACCGGGTATTTTTATAAATTTTATAAAAAAATATGCCCTATCATTTCATTTAATTCTTACAATAGCCCGGTAAGTTGTGGGCCACTTTTCTTAGTTTATAAATGCAGATAATGAAACTTAAAGAGATAGTGTAATTTTGCCTAAGAGACGGAGCCAGGATATGACTAACTCTGAGGCCTGCACTTTGACCTGTTAAACTGTGCTCTATCCAATGAGGCAGCTTTGTATTCTTTGTCAGAATTATTCTTATGAAAGTGTTTTTTGCTGCTTTCCTTGTGAGTTGGCTTATTGGTCAGTTGACACTGTTAATCCTACCACTCAGCGGCTAGTTCACGTGTTTATGTGGAGCCCTGGTTACCTGTGCTGCTGTTGCGGGTGCTAAAAGCTCCTCCTCTTCAGGGGAATGTACTCCAAGATCCCCAGTGGATGAGACAGTACAGATCCCTACATACACTGTGTGTTGTTCCTATACATACATGCCTATGATAACATTCAACACAATAAGAAACTAGGCACAGTAAGAAATTAACAACTAATAAAATCAAACAATTATGGCAGTATACTATAATAAAAGATATATAATGCAAGGTCTGCTGTTTCTTTAGCTCTCTCAAAAATATCTTATTGTTCCGTACACTCTTTTTGTGATACGAAATGATTCAGTGCCCCCATTGACTTTGGGTAGCTCTTGTAAATGCTCTGTTAGTTCATCTGTCCTCAGTGAATTTAATAAAAAAAAGTTCAACATCAGTGAGGCTAAATTGAAATCAAAATATTTTTCTAATATGAACTAAGAAAGAGTTTATACAAGAAAAGAGAGTTCTACATAGATTGGCATCACCTTAAGGCGTAGGATTTACTACATTAACAGGTTCTGATCTATCACAATAGTATCTGATATGACTTTTTAAAAGTCATTACAATGCCATTTCTTGGTTTTACACTTCCATTAAAACTGTAATTGCCATCTTCTTGCTTTCTACCACAGGATTTCCCCCTCATTTTATTCAATCCTCTCTTCCAGGTCTCAGCACAACTATTTAAGAATCACCCGCATTCTTAAAAGCCTTGGTGAGCTTGGATACGAAAGTTTTAAATCCCCTCTTGTAAAATTTATTCTTCACGAGGCCCTTGTGGAAAACACCATTCCCAATATTAAGCAGAGCGCTCTGGAGTATTTTGTTTATACCATCAGAGACAGAAGAGAAAGGAGAAAGCTCCTGCGATTTGCCCAGAAACATTACAAGCCTTCGGAGAACTTCATCTGGGGTCCACCCAGGAAAGAGCAGGCTGAGGCCGGCAAGGGCCAGAGAGCGGCTGCCCCAGCCACCTCCAGTCACAGCAGTCAGACTTCTATGCACAAAAAAGCCAAGGACTCCAAAAATTCCTCCACGGCTGTTCACTTAAATAGCAAAACCACAGAAGAAAAGAAAGTGGCACCCAAAGAGCCCGGGGAGGGGACAGAGAAGCCCAGCTCAGAGCCCCATGGTGACCCTGGAAAGCCCACAAACTCCCAGGACAGTGGGGCTGAAAGTGTGAATTCACAACCAGAAAAAACAGCCAGCGACCCTGCAGAAAAAGTGGAGAGTTCGTCTCCCTCGGAGAAAGATGAAGAAGGTGAAAATCATAGCGAAGACTGCAAAAACACTGAGAGTACCAGCTGCGAGAACGAAGTCCCATGACAGCGAATCCCCAGCAAACCACAACCCGGAGGGAAAAACTATCTTAGGACTTCCTCTTAAAGAACAAGGTCCAGGTCATATTCCCCATGGTAGCCATCTGTTCGTGATCTCTGTCGTAAACTTCTTTTTTTTTAATTTTCAATGAGAATGAATTGGATACTTAATAAGTTTTGAGAGGAGAGCCAATGAATGAATGTTTTAAGATGTGAGTTTTCAGATTCTCTATATGATTTAGGTTGTTTTCAAGACCTCTAGAAAAAAATCACATAGCATCTGGTTTACTGCAGACTTTGTTTTGAGAGGTTAGTCTACGTGAAGAAAATCAAGGGAAGAATTTCATTGTATCACCACACCTTTGCCTGATTTTTGGATTTTTTGAAGCTGGAGGAAAGTGTTTTGGTCTTCTCAAATATATTCAGAAAATAATTCGGATTCTTTAACACACCTCCATGTGCTTATTTTTAGAGTCTGATAAGTGGAACGGATATCACTGGAAAACTGTGCCCTACCCGGCCCGTTTAGTGGCACCCGTCTTTTCCTGTCTCTTTCTTCACCCTGACCTCCACCTTCGTCAGCTGCCACGTGCATTTCTAGTGCATTAGCGTGGTTTCCTGTGTCAACATCTAAGTGAGACCGAGAGGGACTTCTAATGGTCTGATTTCAGAAATTTTCTTTGTTTAAAATAATGAAAATGTTTTCTCCTTTAAAAGCTTAAAAACAAATTTTGGTGCAAAAGTTAAAAAAAGGAGTTTGCTTATTATGGCTACTCAATATAAAGTGGGCGGTTGCTTCAGGTTATAGATGACTGGAGCATTAACGGGAAGGGAAATGATTCATTTTCAAAAGGCATGCCTCTTGCACTGTCAATAAGCAGTAGTTCTGTCAACTGCTAAACTTGGTGTTATGTAAATTATGAATTTACTAATGTTGCTTATTTGTCAATGTCTCTTAAAAATGTGTATATATATATATATATATATATATATTGTGCAACTTGAAGTTGTCAGACTTTGAAATTGAGAATCATTTGAAATTCCATATACTCAGTTCTAATGAGTACTTAATATGTTACATAACACTGGCCATAAACAGTTTTATTTCCTACAGCATTATTACTAATTCATGGAAAATGAAAATCAAACACTGTGATGAGAACTTCAAAATGTACATACAAATATAGACAAAGAATGAGTAGATAAGATATTTTCACTTTATTTCATTTAGAAAAGAATTGGCTTTTTGAGTTTGTAGCTTAGGCTTTTAAGAAAAGTTTTATTTACTTTAACCCACAAAGAATTTTTTTTTTCCTATACAAGGGATTGAACTCAGGACCTTTGCACTGAGCTACATCCCCAACCCTTTTTCTTTTCTTTTCTTTTCTTTTCTTTTCTTTTCTTTCTTTTTTTTTTTGACATAGGGTCTTTCTAAATCGTTTGTTGCCCAGGTTGTAATCCTCCTGCCTGAGCCTCCAGAATGCTGGGATTATGGCATACGCCTCCACGCCTAGCAAGAATTTTTAAAAAGTCCTATTTTGTATCACGTTATATCATCTTCTATTGCCTTTATTGATCTACACTTTCAACAGTGGATTTATAGAAAACAGTAACACTGATAGAATGCCTTTAGAACTGGGATTTTATTGCTATGGAATATACACAAAACCATCCCAGATGCTTAACCTTGATTTTTTAAATATGGATCCTAGTGGCAATCATATTGCATATATCATATTCCAATAAGTAAGCTATACAATGCATTATCATTTTTAGTTCCCATAATATGTCAATTTTTGCTTCATAGTGTTTGTACACTCTTTGATTTAACAATCTAGATTTGCATTTCTGTTTCTTTTTTACATACAAGAAATACATGGACCCTTTTATGTGGTGCTTATAACAATGTCCCCATAGATCTCAATAAACAGTTTCACAAGGATTATGGGATGCCTGTGTATTGTCAGTTTGGGCTGGCCTGTAATTCAAAATATTTTACAAATTTTGCATACAGGACATATGTTCAGACTACTTTCTGAATGTTTAATATTACAATATGTGACCCAGTACTAAATATTAACAAACAGTTACTAAATATAAAAAAATATAATCTCAACTACTTATAAATTGCTACATAGCAGAGCCCGTGAAAGTAAAAACATTTAACAGCTGAGCTTTTAGAGTAGTATTCATTAGGGATTTTGGTAGGTCGTACTATTTAATATGAGAATATTTCATCTCAAGGGGAAAACTGCCTGGCTTCCATATAAAATAGTGGCCTTTTTTCCATGATGTTTTTAAAATGCACATTCATACCTGATACTAGTATGTTTCTTACATTTAATCTGTAAATAAAGAGAATTATTTAGTGGAGTACAAGTAAGGGGATGTCATTCCTTTTGCAGATAGAATTTTTTCTATTAAGAATACTTTGTACATTTAATAGTTTTTTAAATAAGATCTATAGATAAGTATTTATGTGTCTTAGATATGGAGCTGGCCTCTGGGTTTAACTCCAGTGTTTTGTATCTTTAAGAACTACCATATGCGGGGCTGGGGATTTAGCTCAGCGGCAAAAGCGCCTGCCTGGCAAGCGCAAGGTCGTGAGTTCGGTTCCCGGTACCGGAGAAAAACCAAAAAAAAAAAAAAAAAAAGAACTACCATATGCTTGCCGAAATTCACTGAGAACATGTTACAGAAAACACACTGAGCATGACCAAATAGCTAGAGACATTATCGAATATTTGCAAATGTATAGTCTTTACTGTTGTACTACAGGCTGCAAGGCTGTTAAATATTGCCTACTGATAACTTGTATATCATGACAAATAGATATTGTCTGATTAGTGTAATCCGTTTCTCATATTTTGGGCTTTCATATATCAAAGATCATATATGTGAAATTATTTTGAAATACTGTAAAGTGACCTAATGATAAGATATTTCTGTACAGTAGAGAAGTTTCTAATGAGATTATTGTAACGTTATGCATTTTCATGCTCAAGAAATTTAAAGTAATCGTGATAGAAATGATCTATCTGCTTTCTCTAAAACAAGTGTAATTGTCAGTTCAAAACTTAGGTGGTTTTGTTTTATGTTTTGAGATGCTTTTTCCCATGTTCAAGAAGATGTGGTCTGCAACTCAGGAGTTCCCAGGGAAGTTCTAAGAGTTTTTGCTCAGTTTTAAAAGCATAATGATATAAAGATACAATAAAACCTGTTGTAATAATTATGTTTTGCATCTTGTCATGTAAAATTATCTACTTGGCTTGTAGCTTTTCAACTTTAATCTGAGTGAGAAGATGATTGGGTTAAAAATGGGAAAACCATACAGTGCTACGTCTGACTTAGTTTTTTAAGAAATCTTTTTTGGAAATAAATTGCCACATCAAATGTTCAAAAATTGTTCAGATTTATGAATAGGGAATATTTGGTTAATTGTTTTACCACTAAATTTCCCAAGTTTATAAGTAGAGTTATGACTCAGTTTATAATGCACTCAATAACTAAGTCAAGCAATTTTTAAAAGTATACTTGAGGCTCTTCTAAAAATCTGTATTTTGTAACCTAAGAAAAGAAAGATGTTCTAGATTTTGCATAATTATATCTGCAGTTCTTTAATGTCTGTTGGGGGTGAGTAGGGAATCACTTGTGAGGTTTTGAAGATCTCTTGTTTTTCACTTAGTAAATTCTCCTTTATCCTTGGGGCATATGTGTTACATATATAAGGTAAAATGGAATTAGAAATGCCAGAATCATTTCAAATGCAAGTGCCATTGTAAAGAAAGATGACCTGAGTCAATATTGGACCTAGGAAGTTAGGACCGTGTATCTACTGACTTCTGCGGGCTTTGAGGTCTGTGCTATTTTTAGAGGAACAGATTTGGGTGAATAATCTCTAGTGTGACACTGAGTACTTCCCTGCCTCCTGCCTTGTTCTGGTTACCAACCCACCCAGCAGACTGTGTTCAGGGACAGATTGTTTTTGGGAATCTCTTATTGAAATGGGTAATCATACAGTTATATGAATGCCTGGAGGTGTCCCGTTGTGCCTTAGTGAATGTAAGGGGTTTCATTCAGAAGTGCACCTCTGTACTCACTATAAAATCTTATCATAAGGAGCTTTCCAAACCATGAACACCAGTTATTTTAATGACATTTACCTTGGTGCTTTATTATTTTGGAGCAATTATCATTTGAGACAAGAGCATTTGTTCATAAAGAAATACACTCACCACATTATCAGCAATGTGTTATATATGACAAAAGGGCTTAGGGTAGGAAGGATTAACTTGTGACATTTATTTAGACTTTTTGTTAGTATTGCTATGTACTGTAATTTTTACTTTAAACATTTTAGTTACTGCAAGTAATATTTGTTTTCTTGTTCTTTAACACAGATAGCTGCAGAAAATGTATTTTATTAGAAAAACTTAAAATTTTAATTCTAATAGATGTTTGGAGCAAGCTAAAGTAATTTGAGAAACTTATGCTATAAACTTACTAGAATCAGTTGAAAAACCCTCTTCTTGCTTTTATCTTAGAGAAAATGTTCTTTGTTACCTCCTTTTTTTCCTGCTCTGCTGTGAAGTTTGCCTCAGCTACTTGTGGGAAAAGCTTCTTTGTATATTTATCTTCTTGAATTAAAGTTCTCATGTGGACAGTCTAATGCAGCACTTTGTGTTATGGCCCAAACCTCTGCTGGCCATAGAATCTAGACAGGGAAAAGTTGGCTGAGTCAGGGTGGGTATCTTGGAGAAGCGGGTCGGCCCTGGCTTTACCCTCTGCAATGGTACCACTGGCTGCTAAGCCTTCTAGGATCATGAGTTCTGGGGAGGAAGGCCACTGTGGACTCTACACACAATTTTATTTTATTCAACTTCAAGCAGACTTTCTTTCAGGCTGTCCTTTCATATATATGTTTTAATAAAATTATTCCAAGAAAAGGCATGAACATTCAATTATTACACCGAGATCTTTTTTTGTTCTAGATTAGAGAACGCTCTGGAAAAATAAATTACAGCATTTCTCATATTTTCATTTTTTTCATTGTAAAGGATTTTGTGGAACAGTTTGTATTAACTAGAGAGATTAGTTTTTTAAGTAAGCTTTGGGCAGCTAAGAAACGTTCCATGTTATGCACTCATTGGTTAAATGAGCATTTTTTTCTTTGCTAACAGATTTAGTTTCATGTGAAGAGAAAGAAATGCATCAGAAGATTAGACATAGCAGCACGAAATCACAGAAATAAAGACATAACCAAATATGTTTGTGAGTGGGCTGGAGTCACTGGAAGCAGGTGAGAGGTGGTCTAGAGAAGCCCAAGGAGCTTTGTGCTCTTGCGGGGAAAGGGGACAGGGACTGGTAGGGAAAAGATCCCCTTGGTTCTCTCGTGCACCTTGACTTCTGCCTTTTCTTATTTCTTGAGTAAAATGCTGGCTCTCCTTCTGTATCACCTATGAAGATAGATCAGACTGAGTCTAGGCAGTGTTTGAAACTGTTACGTTACTGTGCCGTTTGTGTTCCAGATATTTCAGGGAAATGGTTATGATTCTTACAGAGATGTGTTTTACTTGTCACATAGGCTCCGGGTCTCCGGTAGCCCCTGGACCATGTCTGCTCTGTGTGTTCCACTTCAGTGTGAAGTCCAAGATGCCGTGTGTTTGTTAGCACCAGTACCATGTGTACGTGGTACAAGCTGTAACCAGTTTCTGGATCCGTATGGTACTGTAAGATGCTTATCTTATAATTCTGTAACTGTATGGCAGTCTTGTGCCAAAAGTGTATAAAGAGCAATAGTTTCTGTTGCTGATCGCTGTTTTTCAGAATATTGTTTCTAAAATAATATGTTTAGAGGTCCTTCCAGGTAATTATTTTTAACAACTCTTGCCAAATATGTATCCTGTAAAACTAATAAAAAACACTTCATCGTAGGTAACAGTTTAGCATTGTGCCTACATGACATTATGATGATTTTGCACGATTAAAATATTCTTCAAGAGCTGGAAAAAAAGAGTTGCTGTTTTCCTACGATTTAATGTAATATTTTATTATGAATATATCAGACTGATATTTCCTGTTATCCTCTGGAGTAAACATTTTATTGTGAGGGGTGAAATCGTATTTGCATCTGAAGTTCTTTTTATCCTGAGATTTTACAGGGCAGATCACATGTGTAAATACTTGAGTACTTATTTTGCTCTTTTTTTTTCTACTTTGTTCCATGCACAGTTGTAAAAGTATATTTCATACAGATGAATGACTAGGATTAGTTAGTGGAGATGACTTTTTTTGCCACCTAAGCAGGAGAATGTTTTTATGAAGTCAAATTTTCTATTAAGAA